TTGTTTCCCTTTATTTTATTAATTCATTTGTTCCCTGCATTTCTTCATCATGGCTATGACCATACTACTCTGACAGAGGATGCACACACACCTGTGTGTATGCACATATGCATAGAGTCTGGTAGCTCACAGCTTCATCACACATTTTGAAAGCATTAATATTAATAACATTGTTGAAGGCAAAAAATTATATGATAATATTCCGCCATGCTTGCTTCTAAATGTGATTCATGGGAGACTAATCAACACAAGCAGGTGTCTCAAAAGAAAGAAACTGTGAACGCAACCTATGGATTAAGTAGCTAATAGTTAGAATTAACCAAGTCTTGTGCAGGTTGATAACTAATTTTTTGTATTGCACCTGTACTGGGTCCTTCAAATACCATGTAAAGTACATCATGGCATTGGAAAACTAGTAAATAACATCAGACTAAGAAGAAATGGAAATTAACAAAATGAAATTGCAATTATTTAAGGAGACATACTAAAAACTCCAGAAAAGCCCCCTAGAACAACTTCATCTGTATGAACAATTTTATCTCTAGTAAGCTAAGTGTCAGCCAATATCCAGACTTCTATGAATGATTTGTTATCAGGTGTTTAAAGAAAACCTAAGTGGTTTTTCTTGCGCTATTGTTTTTCTCATTAGTTTTAAGGCTTAAATGCATAAAAGCAAAAAACTAGGATAGCTGAACAAGACCATGGGTAGAACAACTCAGGTTTCACATGCATTAGAAACTGATAAACTCTGCTTTCAAGCGTGCACTGCAAGCTTCACTTCACACATGGCAGTGGTCTCAGTGGAACCAACAAAGCAGCAGTAGATTTTTTACGTGTCCTCCCAGACACCTGACCTCCCTTTCTATTCCCTTGTAGTGACTTGTAGCAATGCTGCACCTGCCCTGAAGGAGCTAAATTGCTTCAGCAAAGGGCAGTCTTTAAATAATTATGAACAGGTTCATTAGGAGACATGGAGAGATACCTACAGAAACAGTGCTTCTGAAATCACTCTTCGTCAGTTTATTCTTTGTAGATTACTTCAGAGATGCATATTTTGTTTTTTATGCTACTCAGTACATAATCATCTCAAAATATGCTGTCACTACAGTGCTGAGGCAAAACAGACCACTAAGTTTGGATGTGTGAAGTACAAGGCTTTTGAGAAGAAACAGGGATTCCACATTGCAACGTGAAGGAACCAGGTATATTTACGCCCCAATCTCTGTAGTCTCCTCTGCTGCATGTCTTACAATGATCCTGTTAAGACAAACCCAAGTGCAAATTGTGGTACTGCAACTCATGACTTGAAATAATTCTTGGTGGCTGCATAATTCAGGCAATTTAGGAGCCCTTCAAACTGGTTAACAGTTGAGATGTCAAAAGGCACTTCTCTGACAGCATCTCTTTTCATCTCTGTATTTAGTCATACAGGTGAAATTAGAGTGTGGTAGAACTGTAATTCTGACCCCACAGCTCAGGAGACAGATATGTTTACATAAACTCAAGGCCATCTCTTGGTTCCAGGCCAGCACAGGAAAGAAACCTGTTAATAACACACAGAGTTTTATAGTTTTGCTTCAGAGCAAACCACTATTTAAAATACAGATAATATCTGCAAAGTGCTTGTAAACAAAACCACCAGTTTAAAATTTGCCCTGGAGAAGTACTGCTAGACAGCAGCAAGCTCACACTAGGAGACTTTTGCACATACTTTCACACCTTTGGGAAATTTAACTACCCATACAGAATCAGCTACCTGATTGTTGAAAGGGGTGGTCCATAACGCTCCTTTGACTTGCATGAAGTCATGCTAAGTTAAAGAACACAGTTCTGTTTCTCCTCAAGAGCTCTCTACTGTGTTCAAAAATTCAAAGCACGCTTCTATACTCTCCTCGGAGTGAAGCTGATGTAAAGCTGTCACCTTTAGAGAATGTCAGCACAAATAATACAGCCACCAATAACAGGGTGACCTAAAGGGTACAAGATATAACAATATGCCATAAAAGGGGTAAGCTACACACCATTATGTTGATGTTGCACTGCAGTATGGTAAATAAAATAAGGTGAAAATAGCTATGAACTCTGTCTGGTAAGGATCAGTATTAGGACAAAATGTATTTAATGTCTTCATTTATGACCTGGAAGGTCTAAGGCAATAATGAGATTTTCAGAGAAAACTGGTGTACTATTTCCTCAAACATCTGTTCATGTAGATTTTCAAGTAGAGCAATCATTGTGTTCAGCAGGATTACTCCAATACACACAATTGCGCTTAATTTAGATCTGACAAGATCAGGGACAATACTGGAAAGATCTCAGGTTGCTATGCAGGAAGTGAGAAATCCAAGTAAATTCAGATAATTATAACCATGGCTAGGAAACTGCAAAACAAGATTTAGACACAACAAAACCAGCCAAATACAAATAAACTAAATTAGCAGGACTAAGAAAGCCCAGACATCCATTAAAACTTTTAATGAGATATCTGAAAAGTCTCTGAGTATGTAGCTTGTACAGCAACAAAACAGGCTAACGTTTTCAGAGTGATTTCTCAAAAATTTCCTGGAGCAAAGAAAACCCTTTCCATAAGGCTGGTTTATAGTTACTTTGGAAATACCGTTCTCTCTTGTCAGAAAATAGGGACAAAGAAACACAAGTAGGAAAAAAGCAACAAGAATGATCAGAGGAGGACTGTTTTATGAGGAGAAATTAAGTCTGCTGGTTAGCAGACGTGATACATATTTTTTCATGTGATGACTAAGCAGGACATGGCCATAGCTGCCTACAGATATTTCCATAGTGTAAACATCAAGACAACAGACAATATATTTGAAGTGGTTCAAGTGGGCAGAGTTAGGAATAACAGGAAAAAATAACGGAAAGAAATTATGCAGCTTAAGGAACATTTCTGGCACTGAATCATGTAAAACTGAACAAAGATAGAGGCCAAAAGCCTCTCATCTTCGAGACATTGTGACTACATGGAATGAAGTTGCAACAAGCTGCAGGACTGTGTGGAACTTCACAAAGCTGCAGTCATTTGTCATGGCATGACTCTTATTCACCCTGTCACCATGGCATTAATAATATATTCAGAATAACTTACAATGTCCATGAGAAATGAATTGGTGACTTATGTTTTCTGTAATCTAAGAGAGATAATGATTTATTCTATGATTCGTTTTTGTGGAAATGTGAGTTCATTGAGTCTGTAGAATAAAAAGCTATCAAAAGAACTGTATCTGGTTGCATAAAAGATATACTGCCAAAAGATAGTGACATAATGGCAACAGCACTGAGACAAGTTTTCTCTGAATCAGGGATTTATTGTTGTTTCAGTGATAGGTCTTGTCAGACACAGCATAGGCCCATGAAATGATAGGGAAGTGAAGTTATGTAGTAACACTGCACATGTTCTGTTCTTATACTTTTTTTTCTTTGCTGGTCCTGAAGTCCCTGACATGTTACTGACTCTGGGGAAAAGCAGGGCTTTCTGAGCTTCACTAATCCATTCTTCAAAGTCTGTTTTGCTGTTTACACCATTTCCACAGGTTTAGCTTTTCAGCTCAGCACCACTGATGCTCTTTTGCCCATGTTGGTAAACAGTGGCAGCTGGTAATAGCCTCAGCAATTACAGGCAGGCTTACCTTCAGTATAGGCCTACTATGCAAAAAAGTTAAGAACGATCAAACAAAAAAGGGAATCCAAAAAACAGGAATGGGATAGAAAGGCATAGAGGAAATGATGGAAGAGATGAAGGAAGGAAAACAAAGGGGGAAAAGAACCAGAAGCAAGTGATGAATAGTGGAGAGCCTGGTGAAAGGAGACCTAGTAAGAATAACAGAGTTAGGCAAAGTAGTCTAAGAGAGCAAGATAGGATGGGAGTGAGAGATGGCTGATAAGAAAGGAAGAACAGATCCTTTAAAAATAGCAGAAAACAAATCCACCAGAGCAAATTAAACCATAAACATAAACAGCATAAATATAAGCAGAGTAAAATAAAAACTAAGTAGAAGCATGAGAGAACAGAGGAAACTGCAGCGTGGTGAAGTGAAAGCAGAGAAACAAAATGTATCTGCTAAAAGGTAAAAATTCTGGCAGTTGTTGGCAGCTCTGCCTTTCTTTCAGGTACGTATTTCCATTAGGGAATGCTCTTTCTCAAACCAGCTCCAGCACTCACTGATAATTCTTGGTGTTTAACTGATACAAATCTAGGAAGGTTCAGCCAGGTTGGAGCAACCTCAAGGTAGTCTTTTTTAGAGTATGCTTGGTCATTATGTTTTTATTAATACTGTCTTAATAGAAGTAGTTCAAGACCCTTAACATTGGCACAGGTAAGTTAGTCAGCAAATGTATCAAAGCAATGAGCTTTCTAAAAGGAGAAATGCAGTGTATCTGCAGGAAGGATCCTTACACACATTTACGTTATAAACTGTTTCAATGAATTGTCATATTTCCTCACTAAAAGTAGGTTATCAATATTAAAAGAACTATGTGTAGATCAAGCTGAGGAGCAAAGAATGATGAGACTTGATACAAGCTTTGTTAAGCACAAAGATCATAAATACTGTATGAAGTAGAAGAGACCTCAAAATTGTATCTAGTAATGAGTTTTAATATCAATTTGGTTCAGTACATAGAATCTCTGATAAATCTGAGTGAGGAATTTCAGTAACATGCACATGTACTATAAAAACCTGTTAAGTCACATCCCTATAAGACTATCAGATTAAGTATCTTACAGGAATATTGAATAAAGACTGAATATTAGACAAAAACCAAAATTCAAAAACCCTTCTTCAGAACTAGATTATTTTTAGAGTTATGCGTCAGCATTAAATACAGTCTAACAAATTTATATATAGATTCACTGAACATGAAAACCGAAAAGATTTTTAAATTGAGGAAGAGAAGATGGATGGACAAAAAGTTAGAATTATATTACATGCCTCTATTATACATTTTCAGTGCCATTTATCCCTCAGGGGTAGAATACTTACAGGTTTTCGAGTCGGGGTAACCTGAACAGAATGATAAAATTCTGGTTGAACTCGGCTGCTTTTCTTGATTTTTCTTTTTCTTACAGAAGTTTCCTGCTCACTTAGGTGGTGAGCTTCCACTATGGGTTGTGTTTCTTCAAGGCGAGGTGCTACACGTCTTCTAGCATGACGAGGACTTGACCTAAAGCCCTGTAACATAAAAAGCAATCATTGTGTTTAACATCTCCCAGAACGAAGCCGTGTAACAGCAGAAAAATCACACAGGATGGTAACAACAACTTAACAACAACTTAAGGTACAAGCATGCTCATCCTAAATTAATATAGTATCCATACAAACTGCATGTAACAATAAAGAGATGTTGCCAAGCGCCATTAATATCATATTTGTGTTCTATTTCTCAATTATATGTGTTACTGACACAGCTAGTAGGAGTAACTCCTTTGCTTTTCTTCATGAACTCATGCTTCTACTTATTTATTACTAAACAGTTCTAATTAAAAGTTTATAATTAAAATTTTCCAGGTTATTTTTTGGCCTCAAGAGAAATTGTTTTAGGGAGCATGAGCTGAAAAAGGTGCATTTTTTCCTGAGAATGAAAGTGGAGAAAAATTGGTAGCTGGCAACCCTTAATGATGACTAATGGTTCTTGTTAAGAGTTCTAATGTTGCTAGATATGAAGGGAGACTTTACCATTTGGAATAAATAATTAAGACAGAATGCTGCCTTTCTCTGCCATATGAGATATATATGTATATTTGGCCAAATTAATAAACTCAGGAAAAGCTGCCCTTCACAAATGCTTTTTAGAGGCTTGCAGTGAAAATCTCATCATCCAGAACGTCTTACAGAATTTAATTCCTTTAATGGCAACATGTTTAATGCTAGCCCGCTATTGCTACCTGCAGAGCATTTACAAGGAGCATTCTCTCATTTCACTGAGTCCCGCTCACGAGCATGCATCAGCCTGCCATGCGTCATTTGTACTGGATAAAATGTTGGTTGATATCAAATTTGGCCAGTTTGTAAATAAGAACTCCATTTGCTTAGTCACATCAGCTTTCAGAATAAGTGAGCCAAATCTATGTCCTTCATGACAGCCTGCAGTTTAAGGACTTTACTCCCTTTTAAAAGCAAGAATAGATGCAACAATTCCTAATTTTCTACCTTCTTTTATTTTTCTAGTAAAATCATAGAATCATAGAACAGTTAGGGTTGGAAAGGACCTTAAGATCATCTAGTTCCAACCCCCCTGCCATGAGCAGGGACATCACACATTAAACCCTCTCACCCAAGTCTCTATCCAGCCCGGCCTCGAACACTGCCGTATGTCTGCTGAAGTCCTTATGCCACAAACCCAGCACCCAGAAATGGCTCGTCCATATAAAGAAGCAGGCTTCTACAAGGGGAGATTTTAACTAAAACTGCAGAAATGTATGCTATGAATCTAAATACCCTGAGTTCCTGCCAGCTCAAAACTAGTGGGAGCAATACATTTCCATATAAACCTGCTGTTCTTTATTCACCCTACTCTTAGCTTTTGTTTTTTGTGTTTTGTTTTGCCTTTTTTTCCCTGTTTTGTTTTAATTAGGAAATCAGCACAGAAAGGTTATGCTAAAATGTTGTTACACTGGTAAATTGAAGCAATCAAAATTCAGATATATGGCTCTGACTAAACTAGATTTACTCCCGTAATGTTCATGAAACTTCAAGGGAAGAGAGTGCAGTCTGTTCTGGACACTCTGAGAGACATGCAGCTATTTTCATTATTTAAAGGTGTGCTCCATTAAGTAGATACACTCTTAAATAGCCAAAACACACAAACATGTATTTACATACACATGCTAATAATTACTACAGATAGACATTTGCATGCAACAGATGATGTGAAAAGGTTGAAGTGTCAAGGTGAAGTAACTTTCAGGTGACAACCTTCTACTCCTGAACACTGGATAGGAGGGACAGGAGTAGAGCCCAGCTCTGCTTAGTCCACCTGGGGAGTTCATGTGTGTGGTGCATCATGGCTACAAAATACATAGGATGGAAAGATACAACCAAAAGCTCCTGAACCCTTTTTTTCTGATGCCTCCTATTCTACTAAGCAATAGTCATTCAGACTACAGGTATGGCCAGACTTCAACTCCCTGTATCTTAATTGAAGCAGGACCTTGTCCATATGAGCTGACACAAACAGCATAATGGAAGCCACTGAAGCCAGCAGACCTGCGTGGGTTTAGGAAGACCTCTAAACTCAGAGATGTAACTCTGTGAGACAGATACTCTGCCACACTACTGCAATGAGAAAACTTATTGCCGCATTTTCTTTCTACACTGTGAAATCCTAACACATACTTAAAAGGTATCATTCAACATGATACTAGGCCTATTCAGGATGACAGGGGAAAAATACAACACGGACAGCCTGCTATTACAGAGCTTACTTCTTGTGGAAATTTTCTTTCACAAAAAATATTAGTGGGCATCTGGGATTATTCCATAGTAAAAGAAGATATTCCATAGGAGACCAAAATACCCAGCAAATCTATTCTGAGTTCGGAATTCAGAAGTGATTTCTACACATTAAATGCATTATGATTCACTTACAGATGATGGCTACTGGCTGAAGCCTGGATATATACCCTGTGCTGCAGCTGCTCCCTCACCATACTCCCATCCCCATTAGCAGGATAAAACTCTTTGGGAAAGCATGTTTATGTAACAGAAGAATTTGGTAGAAGCTAAGCAGCTCTGAAAGTGCTTAGAAATGCATGCCAAACAGGGATTCAAGTATGTGGGTCTGTCTCACTGAGTAACTGCACCTCAAAATACTTGAAGGTTTACCGATTATTACGTCTCAATATGAAAAAGTCACAACTTCCAGAAAAGTCTCTTTATAGGCAGTGCTTCTCCTTTGTAGTTTATATATTTTTTCACTTTTGCTGTTTATTGGTAGCAAGAAAATGGGATCTTTATCTCTTTAAGAGCTCATCTGCTTCTGTTTGCTGAAGCTTATTCTTCACTTGAAGTCATAATCTGCCCACAGTATCACAAATGGTTGCTCTCGGGAGGATTATAATGCAATAAAGGGAGAGGATCATGATTTCAGGTGGAAAATTAATTCCATATCAACAAAGATGTTACAAGGGCAGAGTCCTCAGACCAAAACCCAAAATGCTTACTCATCCCTGCAGTAAGACTTTGCCAGAGCAAAAACCCAAATCTGGAAAATGTCACAATTTGGTAATCAAACATTTGGTAGTCAAAAGCTGCTGCTCCTGCCCTCAATGCAAAACTAGAATAACCAGCAGTGCCTTCTCAACAATGGAATCAATAGACACTTCTTGTGTCAGCTGTGTTATTTATCCTGCATTCAAACCCAAAATTGAAAACTTACCAGATTAATACAATAATCAAAACTTTTTAAAAGGCAAAAATTGCACAAATATCTGCTTTAGAGGTTAAATCAATGCACAGAGAAGAGCAGAAAACTATTACAAAATACTCAGGGAGGCACAGTACACCACCCGAGACCAAATCACTGAGAAAACACTAGAGATTTTTGAATCACACAAGCAACTCAATGAGGTTGCTCTAACACTGTTAAGCAATCTGTAGTTTCCAGCATCATGTGAATGCTGTGTCACTGGACAGTGACAAACCTTTTCTTGCTCTTGGCACCAAGAGGGAGTTGCTCATTCCTAGACGGTACTTTCTGACTCATTTTTATGCCTGTAAAATTCCAAAACAAGGCAAACCAAACAAGACTTCAGATACATATTTTTAGACAATCTGTCTTGGAAATACTAAAATAACTACATAAATATTTACACTACAAAGTATTCTTCCTTAAAGAAACAACTCGGATGACCACCAGAAGCAGTTTTAGATATCACAGAGGAAGACGAGGCAAACTGAAACTGGGATTATCTTCTCTCCCAAAGCATTCATGTGCATCCTTCCAGTTTAGAGTCTGTTTGAATCCACAAATACTGATCTTCCTAGTTATACTCTACAGTCAGCAGGAATAGAGAGGTGTCTCTGGAGGCTAGATCAGGGCCAAAGCCTAGTTGATCTCTCTCAGGGGAGGTTTTCTGTCTGTGGAAGGAGGATGGGGAGATCACCCTCCTTCAGATTAAATTTATCCTTTTAAGTCTTCTCTGAAAGGTTTTCTTGTTTTTTTTTCTCAGGAATTGTGGTAATAATGAAAGGACCTGTTGTGTTTACCCTTACAGACAAACCAACAGTGAATTTTGCAAGGCCTGGATGCTGCGTGCCAGAGCACACAACCAAGTGGTTGTGTAAAATGACTTCCACAGTAAGGGGTCTTGTAAAAAAAAAAAATACCTTCTTATCCAGCCAAGTTTGAACTTCACACCTCTGATTCAGAGACTGATTTCTTGTGTCTAGAAACACAGCGTGGGGTTGCTCTGACTGAAGCTCAGCAGACCTCCACTCTTTGGGTTCCCTTTCAAGCCACTTAAATCAGATGAATCATTCCCTAATGGCATCTATTACACTCCACTGGCCATAAAGGGGACCCAAGCCGATAACTTCACTTGTAGACATCTATACTGTAAGTATCCAATATACAATAGGATGTATCAGACCCATGACAACTAGGTTTTGATCTGCCTTCAATACGTCATCATTCCATGTATATTTTATCATCAGATTTCCTCTTATTTTCCTCCTACATGAAATAATTCCAGTCTTTTCCAGTATCTTTTTTTTTTGTCCTTATTCAGACATCACTCTTATTGGACCCCCATAATTCACCACAGTACTCTTATAAATGTGTGCTGCTCATTTATATAATAGCATAACATGGTTTTTCTTTCTGTTCAAATATTGTCCATCCCAGGTTTTCACTAAATTGTTAAAAGTAATTCAAAAGGCCTTTTCTGGAGATGACATACTTAAATATTAATAAAGTGGAGAAACAACTTTTCTCTGTAACATACCCAGCCTTGCACTTATGAACATCATGTGTGTTCATCTGCCCCATTCTTCAGAATTTCTTTAGTATGGTCTGGTATTTGATAAGCAAGTATGTCATGATCTGCAGTCCTTGTTGTATTTTTGCCTATTCCCTTTCCTAGCCCATTCATTAATACAATAACCAGAATTCTGAAGCTTCTTACAAACTTGTCTGTCATTTACAGACAAGGAAATTTTGGATAATCTGTTGA